CAGTATGATACAGAACATGTAAGTGTCAGACTAATTAAGATAACAAATTAAACATTAACAACTACATGTACATACATTACAATTACACTAATTACATTTAAGTAGTTTCAGTGTATATCTTTCACAGAAGTACTTGAAGGTCCTTTATAATCAATGATCATATAATAAGCAGTAGCACTTCACTTGTACTTATACATACACATGTAAGTACTACTCTAGTACTTCTAAGGCAGCTAGTACATGAGTTCCTAATTATGATAGCTACATGCATATACAACATACACATGTACAATACATATTTCTAAGATATAATTTAATACTGCAAGAACTTACATTGTTTAAATCTGAAGGATCAGCTCTTTTCTTTAGCAGTAATTCTACAACATCACAGTTTCCTTCTCTTGCTGCTTCAATAAGTGCAGTATTTCCTCTCTATAATAACAAGATAAGAATAGTTTGCCATTAATTGTCCCCAAAGAAGAGAAATTTTAGTAGAATCTGGTTATTGCACATTGTAGTTTTTAAAAACAACTAAGGGTAGCCATGTGTCTACTGTATACCTGACCAGACACTGTTTTAGTGTCACAGAGGATAGAGATCTGACTATGTGAGACGAGTTAAAAAGTTAAAGGTTAGAACATCATTGCAAGGCATAACAGGGAGAGTCCTTTAGGATCATACACGTACATGAATGAACGAAAATTTGTAACTACATGAGTGTACATGAGTGCACAACTGCACATACAGTATACATCAAGTACATTGTATGTAATGCACAGTAAGCAGCATGGAAGTGGTTCACAAAAGCTTTGTGAAGCAGTTATTTAACTTTTTATGACCTGGGCTACACATGTTGTATTGGAGAAATAACAAGCCTTAGCAACCACCGACCCACGCTCCTTTTACGTAGTGGGTGTGGCTACAGCAAGCAAAAAGGTGGCTTACACACGAGACAAACTTATGAACTTTCTAACAGCAAGAGAACATAAAGATACTGTCTAAAGACTTTTCTAGAAGCATTTGAAGGTAGAAAGAACCTTTATATGTCTTAATAAGTTTCCAGCTCTCCATGAAAGGTGGTAAAATCAATTATAGGAATATCTTTACACTGTTACATTGGTATACACATGTAGTATGTGTGAACTACATTTTTTTTTGTCAATATGCAACTGATACAGCTAACAGTGAGAGTATTATACATAATTTCAAAGGGTAGACCAGCTTCTACATTTAGTACCATGTGCTATTTCTCATGCATGAACATCTACATGCATATAATTTCAAATTCTTTTGTGATATGCCTTAAACAATTATGTGTACATGCACGGTACACCTACACTGTTGTGCATGTAGTAAATACATGTAAGTCTAGATAGTGGTTTGTCATTAAATATTCCCAGTTACTTACTAGATGTATTATTGGTTTTAGTGCTATCATTAATCGCTACATGAACATGTACATGTACAAACACATTTTATGTCATGTTTATCAGTACTATTATACTGCATGTATCTAAAAACAGTACATTTCACTGTCTTCTGTCCTAAAGTTCTTTACACTAAATTTCTAAAGAGAAAACTATTTATACGAGACACCGATGGTGCATTGGCCTTGCTAAAACAAAGAAAACAATATTTATTTTGTTTTACATGTATGATTTCAAAATTATATTTTGTCCTGCATATTACCACTGTATTAAAAGTTACTATAGTTTTGATTGCATTCTTCATAGCCTAATTAAATGTGAGGGTGTTTGGGTAAGGCTGCAAACTGACAGCGCAGCATGGCAGTTGTTACAGTACAGAGAAAGTGTCAAATCTTGATTGCTAGAG